AAGCAGGTGGGTAGCAAATCAGAACCGTGTATATAAAGAAGGTGAAGGAGTCAGAGGCAAGCAGCCCCTGAGGCAGGAGGCCAAGCCACAAGGCAACAGAGACATGGCAGATGAGAGGTGCCGATGGCGAGAAGAACAAGGGAACCGGCCACAGCAGTGGACTGGAGGGAAAGCTTTGACGTTATTGCACATAGAAGGTTGCCCGGACCTGGATGGCGGAAGGGACAGAGTGAGGTTGCTGGGGCAAAAACTAATCAAAGGTGTCTCAAGACCTTCCCGCTCACCCAAGTGACCGGGAGGATGGTGCCACTGTCAGTGGATAGGCTGCCTGGGACAGGGAGCTGCTGAAGAGTTCTCTTCAGGCCACATGTCAGAGCTGTCAACAGGCACTGGCAAGTGGCCGTGTCCTTCAGGAAGCGGAGAGTGTTGATCTGGAGGCAGAACTAGAGACCCCACTGAATTCTCTCATCTGCCCACTGGAGCCAGAGGAACCCCTGAGAGTCCCTGGGAAGAGCTTATAAAGAGGTGGCCCAAAGGACAAGCCTCTGAGCTTGTTTTGCTCAAGGCTTTTCTTTGCTTGGCTTGCTCAATTGCATAAATATCTACACCACTTAGAGACAGCTTTGACGTTATTGCACATAGAAGGTTGCCCGGACCTGGATGGCGGAAGGGACAGAGTGAGGTTGCTGGGGCAAAAACTAATCAAAGGTGTCTCAAGACCTTCCCGCTCACCCAAGTGACCGGGAGGATGGTGCCACTGTCAGTGGATAGGCTGCCTGGGACAGGGAGCTGCTGAAGAGTTCTCTTCAGGCCACATGTCAGAGCTGTCAACAGGCACTGGCAAGTGGCCGTGTCCTTCAGGAAGCGGAGAGTGTTGATCTGGAGGCAGAACTAGAGACCCCACTGAATTCTCTCATCTGCCCACTGGAGCCAGAGGAACCCCTGAGAGTCCCTGGGAAGAGCTTATAAAGAGGTGGCCCAAAGGACAAGCCTCTGAGCTTGTTTTGCTCAAGGCTTTTCTTTGCTTGGCTTGCTCAATTGCATAAATATCTACACCACTTAGAGACCTGGTGGGGAAAGGAAGCTAGAGTAGAGTTTTGTCCTGAAACCAGAGGAAAAATATGATGAGGAAACTGAACCAGATGGTTTCTTGGGTCCTTTCCAGCACCGATATTGTATGGTTCTATTAAAAGAATATGGCATAGGTATTAAAGATCCCCAGATTATTTGTGATTTGCAGATTTTAGACAAATCTTTTAGTAAGATTCAGGAGCATCATAGTGTATCAGAGAATGCCAAGTTGTTTAAATTGCATAAACATTAGTTTCTTGCTTTGTAAAACAGGCATAACATTTTCCACTTGGGGTTGTTCTGAAGAGTTGAAATGCTGCATAGCAGGTATTAAATAGATGGGAACCATCACTCATTATTCTTTTATTTAAAAATTAATTGAAATTGAGGAGAGGTGTCCAAATTAAATCCAAATGACTACTTCAAGTCTAGGGGAACCAGGGATTTCTGTGCCTCCTCCCATCACCATCTATTTTCCCAATTGTCTTCAATCCTGCTGCCACCGTTCTTCACCAGGGCTCCCTATGGCTTCCAACAGCCTCCTAACTGGATTCAGTTTCTCGTTCTCTGCCCCTGTTTACTCTAGCTGGCATACCTCAGCCAGACTAACCTTCCCAGAATATAGCTCTCAACTTGCTCAGAATCAATAAAGGTCTCCAAGTTTCGTTCTGTTGAGTCTAATCTCGTCTCCCTAGTTTCAAGAGTGTCTTGCCAATGGGTTTCAGCCCCGGGCAAGCTCACTATGGATTCAGTAAGACAATGGAACGTTGCTGGGGTAAAAGGGCTTATTACCCGGCTTTGTTCTCCCTGCAATAGGTCGAGCACTAGAATTAATTAGGTCTGCACCCAGCAGTCTGCAGGTCTGTGATCCTCCTCCATCTCTGCCTCTGCCGGGAGCACTGGGCAGAGCTCGCTATATAGTGACTCAGTCAACCTACAGGTGTGGAAGCAGTAGCCTAGCAGTAGGCCAATTACATCATCAAGTACTTTTAGGTTCAAGTGAGGATCCTGGCCAACTGAGCACTTCAGTTTTTCCCACACAAGGTTCTCCAAGATCCATCTCTTTAGGGTGTGGTTAGCTGTGATATTGTGCTGTATAATAAGAAACATCTATCTAATCTTTGTCCCTGTTCCACACACACACACACACACACACACACACACACACACACACACACACACACGTATTTTAAAACTCTATGTCAATCCTTACAAATATAAAAATTATTCTTATTCTGTATCCATCAGCCTCAGTCTTTTTAAAGAATGTGCAGGTTTGCATTTAATGGATATTCATTAATTTATTTACTCAGACTCAATGGATATTTAGGTATTTTCCAGATTTTTGTCACTAAAAATACTGCTGCTATTTATTATCCTTGTGCATATAACTTCTAGTACATTTTTCAGTGTATCTGAAGGGTAACTTTGATAGTTACTGCTAAATCGGCTTCCAAAGTTTTGGTACAACTGACTGTGGACATTAGCCAACTTTTAAGTTTGGTCTGTTTGTTATTTGGTTCTGAATCACATAATCCCTCTCAGACATCAGGATGAGTAAAAAGTTAGGTGTTTCCTGATCTCCTTGCAAACTTTCTCTCTTAAGCAGTGACCCTCACCTGCTCTTCAGAGTCCCTGCTCCGGGTTAAACTTTGAGCTCATGATTGGATTTTCCTCAGGCAGGTTTTGGCTTGGGGTCTGTTTCCTTGTTTGCTCTCCACCACCACCACCACCATCACCCCCTTTCTTTCACTACTTGGGTTTTGCATTTGGTCATATTGTATGGTAAAGCAGTAGAAAAGGAGGCAAAGGGCTGGTGGCCCCTCAGGTCATCAGTATGAGCTCCTGGGCCCATGCGCACCTCATTCCAGCCTCTGGTCCTTGGCTCCGTAGACTCAGAAATTTCATTTTGTGGGTAGGCCGGGGTGGTGGGCTCTCAGGGACTAGATCCCACTGAAAAGGGCTGGTGGCCCCTCAGGTCATCAGTATGAGCTCCTGGGCCCATGCGCACCTCATTCCAGCCTCTGGTCCTTGGCTCCGTAGACTCAGAAATTTCATTTTGTGGGTAGGCCGGGGTGGTGGGCTCTCAGGGACTAGATCCCACTGACCAGACAGACTCTCAAGGGACAGATGCAAAAACCCTAATAATAGCTGTTATCATTCATTTATTGAGTGCCAGTCATAGTGCTGCTTCATTAATACTAATACATCATCCACATAACAGTATGATACAGTAGGTATCCTTTTCATCCTACCTAATGCTACCAATAAAGAAAATGAGCCTCAAAGATTAAAGAATTTCGCCAAGGTGAGGTTAAGATCCTAACCTGAAGAGTCTGGTTCCAAAACTCACGCTCTTGATTTCCCATGAGAAGTGAAACTGATCAGCCCACTAACTCCCTATATGGCAAAACTATATGGGAAGCCAAACTACAATCAGGAAGTTGGTGAAGAGCATGGACACAGATGACCTCAGTGGCGGCCATTATTCAGCCAGGACAGTTTCACTCTAAAGGCGGCCTCATTGCAGAAACTGGGTATAGTTCACAAGAGAGTCCGGCTCCCATCTGCCGCGGAGAGCACCAGCATGCTCACAGTCCCATGGGCGTTGTTGCTCTCCCTTATGTCCAGCCCTCTTCTGTACTGTCATTGTTGTTGTGATATTTTTTCATAATCGTGGCCTCCCACTCCACCACCAGCTAAGCAATCCCACTGAACAGAAAGGCTCATAGGCCCAAAGAAGATGTTCAAGTCTGGCAAATAATTGAATCCATTTAAAACATAAAACAAGGAGGAAAGGGAAAGAGATAAGAAAGGCTTACACACTTATAATAGGGTGCAATGATGGGGGAAGTACCCCACAGAATCAAGCCCTGGGTCACTCAGTGTTCTGTCCTGTTTCCAGGTGCTGCATCAGCCTTCCCCACTGGCGCTTGCAGTCACGAGGGCTAGAGTGGGGAGTGGGCAGGGAGGCTCCACAGATGCAGAGTGTCTGAAGCTAATTCATGCTTCCTTGATCAGTGAGATATAGGGGCAATTATACCTGGCCACAGTTGTTGGCCACCAATAACCTGCTGAATGGCTGTGGATCACTCTGTGCACACCACGCAGAGGACATACTGGGCCACAGCGGGCGTCACAGAGGGATGGCTGATCTAAGGCGTGGGTACTGAGGACCTCGTCTACCTCCTGACGATGTGACATCACGCCTCTGCCTGATCCTTCCACCCCTTCCTGGGTCTGCATTTACCACACATGCTCTACTTTTATGTCTGAAGTAGACAAGCTGTGCTTGCTTATTAACTATGATTAGTTTCTTGTTTCCTCTTTATTTGTTCATTTCTCTTTCTATTGAAGCACTTAATATTCTTGAGTAATATATTTAAGTGCGTTGTAACAGTGGAGTCAGCTGGGGAATCTATTTGATTCTCTAAAATGACTTTACATCTTTCTGATATAATCCTGAAAAATCTGGCCCTGCCAACCTAATCAGACCTCATCTTTGCCTTCCTCTTTAAACTCTGGCTATGCTAACTCCCTCTCTTCCCTTCTCTTCCTCACTATAATCTATAGTGGTTATAGAACATATGAGAATTAGGTTGCATGAAATAGGCAATAAAAACATAAACTTTGGCTTCTATGTCACTTCATGACTTCAATCTTTCAAATAGATTCTCTCCTTTGAGCCTTAAATCATTCCTCTGAGAAAGGATTTCTCAGTAACACCAAAGATGAGAAAACTGAACTTTGGCAAAGCAAGGATTTGCCATGGTTCATACAGCCTAGATTATCTGTCTGTCTGCCTGTCTGTCTATCTGTCTACCATCTATCAACTTCTGATTGTTTGGAAGGAAATTATACATGCTTATTTTAAGAAATTCCAAGAATTCAGAAATGTTCGGTGAATATAACCAAAACCAACACTTGTATAAGTCTTTCATACATTTTTATTATGAACATTCTTCCTGATAATTCTCTATACATCCATGCATATTTAAATATACTATTAACATTCCGCATAAATAGTTCAATTCTTTGGGCTCAAGTAGAGAGTAACACATGTTATTATCAATAGCTAGAATTATAAAGTACAGAGTGAACGATTTTGAGGGAAGAAAATAAGAATGTAGTGAAAGATGGCTCAGGAACATCTAGCCTGGGTGATAGTGGGAGGATAATGCTGCTCTTCAGGGAAGTATGGAGCCTGGAAAGGGAAGGGAAGGCTTCAAACTGGTCCATTTTGAGGTTTGATTAGCCAGGGGGACACTTAGGTGCCTCTATGACCATAGTAGTGGAATTGGACCCACAGATTGGATTCTATAATCATTTACATGTATTCCAATGGAAGTCCTGAATTCCCCCAGGGAGCGGAGAGATGGCAGCCAGGGCTGGCTTACAGAGAGCACCTAACCCACTCAGGGTTGGAAGTCAGAAGGAAGTTATTTCGTTAGCAGATCAGAGATAAAATCGCATTATATTCATTACTGTTACAGAGGGTTAAGAATAATAACATCAAAAAAGTCATTTATTAATGCAAAAAGATGCATAAGGCATATTCCATAATCTGGCCATATTCAGAGGCTGGACACAACTAACATAGGATCCATTTATGCAATACCATAATAGTATTTAGTGGAGTAGACAAGATAGGACCAAGGATCAGTATTAAAATCACTGTAAAGAAGATGTATAATTGATGGGTAAAGGACAAGAACTTAGAGAAATTTAGGAAACACATCCATTGATCACGAAATTCTATACTATTAAAGATAACAAACCCAGAATATTTAGCAAAACAAGTTGACTGCATTTTTCAGTCATAATACGTCTTTTATGTTTGCCCCAAACACTTTGAGGAAGTAAGCTGTTTCATCCTTTTCCTTCTTGCAATATTTTTATCTTAGAGAAAATTTATTAGGATGATTCATCTAACGTTTTTCTTTTCCATCAAAGAAAGCAAAATTTAACATTATGGTAAACAAATTAGGACGATATATATATTCAGCTTCTGAATAGTTTTGTTTCATTTAAAGAAAAACTGTTACTTCGGCCAGTGGTCCTCAAACTTTAATATGGATCAGAATCACCTGGAGGTTATGTTAAACTACAAATTGCTAAGTCTCAGCCCCAAGAGTTTCTCATTCAAGAGGCCTGCGGTGGCCCAAGAGTTTGCATGTCTAACAAGTTCCCAGGTGATCTGATGCTTCTAGATTAGAGACCATACTTTGAGAACCACTAGTTTAGACACTGGACTGGACATGTTTCCCCAACCCCCTTCCTTTATTATTTGATTTCCCTTCCAACTTTTGTCATCTCCTTCTCCAGAGTTATCTCAGTAAGGAACAGATTATATTCAGTTGGCGTTGCCTTTAAAGTTAAAAAACAAAAAGCAAGTGATTTTTGAAATAGAAATGCTGCCAGTTGCAGCTGAGACTTTAAAGGGAAAATGAAACATCTTGAACGTTTGAGTCCTCTTATTTATTTCTCACCTGGACGTCTTCACAAATGTTGTTCTTGCAACTCCCTCCTTGGTCCTCCTGCCCTTCTCCCCTCTTCCTTTACTGTGTATCTCAGTAGGTGCCAGGCATTCTGCTCTTTCTTCAAAGCCTGACACAAGCCCACCTCCACAGCCAAGCTTTTCTGCTTCCCAGCAGCCAGACTTCTGTAGACCTAGGACTCTATAATTATTGTCTGCATTTCTCATCATACTGAGTATGTGCTACCATGCAGCTGTTCAGCCATTTACGTAAGTATGCATGTATGTGTTATTTTTCTCCCCCATTCTGATAAGCTCTTAGGGGGCAAGTCTTGCATCCTTTGACCCTAACAGGAAAGTCGCATACCTGAATTATGTTTCTTGAAGACTTGCTTTCACAACGTTAAGATTACAGTCTTTTTCAGCTTTTACAGAAGGATATTTGTCTCTGCATCTGTCTCTTCACGGTGTCATCACTGAAAGACAAGACCTGATCGGTCTTTGACTAATAAATTCTCCCTTGAATGTTACACCAACACCCCCCCCACCCCCCCCCACACACAAAAAGTACTCAGCAAATAACTGAGGGGCCTTTCTACTAAACACCAAAAACACAGGAAACCAAGAATACCTTTCATACGGGCCAGTTAGTGTATACTAAATTTATTTTGAACTGCACTAGGGAGCTCATCTCTTGCTGTAACAACGTACTTCTTTTCCTTGATTTCTGAATACCTGATGGCAGAATCCGGCTTTGCAAGTGCTCCTGCACCTTTACAAGTGAGCAGAACACACTTGAAACTAAGGGCTTCACAAAACACTACCTATCCAACGTGAGCAGGACCCCGAAGCTATCTGGCTGGCTCAGTCTCCCCCCTTTGTACAGGTGGAAGTGAAGCCCCGCGAGTTAACTGAGGCTCAAAACCACCAGGGGGCACAGCCGCCCTCGCTAGCTGTGAATCCTCCGGGGCTGCTGTCCCACTCTGCCCAAGCAAACGAACGCAGTGAGACTGCAGGAAGGGAGGAGACTGGGCCTCGCCTCACTTTCCCGGTTCCTACTTTGTACAGTCCTAAGAAGCGCCGATTAAGACAGCACACTCATAAACAAACCAGAATACTGTTCGAGTCTGAAGCACTGTCCACAACAAACGAAAATGGTAGCCGACGGCTTAGAAGCAGCCTTCGGCAAACTACCTGAGCCGTCAGGTCCTGGATACAAGCTCCCCTCAAGCTCCTGACCCGAGGGTGACCAAACAAACTCCCACCAAACGCAAGGGTACCTTATACTTCGCACAAGTGCCCAGCGTCTCTGAAGACTATATGGTTGGCCCTAAAAAGGGCCTTTGGGTTGTTACACGAGTTAACTAGCGAGCGGCAGCTCAGCCTCCGAAGCCGTACAGGGTGCGTCCTTGTCGCTTGAGCGCGTACACCACATCCATGGCAGTGACCGTCTTGCGCTTGGCGTGCTCGGTGTAGGTGACCGCGTCCCGGATGACGTTCTCCAGGAACACCTTCAGCACACCCCGGGTCTCCTCGTAAATCAGGCCGGAGATCCGCTTCACCCCCCCACGCCGAGCAAGGCGCCGAATCGCTGGCTTGGTAATCCCTTGAATATTGTCCCTCAAGACCTTGCGGTGGCGCTTAGCACCACCTTTGCCTAAGCCTTTCCCACCCTTCCCTCGCCCAGACATGATCGCTGTGCTCTGACAACACAACCTCTGGCGGCGGGGAGGGCGCCTTCCCCTTGATATACAAGAGTATCGGACCAGATTGAAAACCGAAAGCGCGCGGGCGGGAAGCGCTCTAAATTGTCCCCGCCCGCTCGGGATTTCGTCATTCCTCGTCTGCTCTGTGCCTATCCCTTCTCCGCCCTCCAAGGCGCCCTCCAACGGACTCTGCTGCCTTAGGCCCTGGGCAGATTCGGATCCAACCGCGAGGCCGCTGGGTGCCGCATCTGTTCCGAGTGTGGGCTCCCGGAAGGCGTTAAATTTAGGTTAAGAGGAAAGGTCTTTCCAGCGAGAGAAGACGGGAAGGAAAGCAGAGGCGGGGAGAAGAGAGCGCCAGCGCCGGGTCTAATTCCGACCAGAGGAACCGCGGTTACATAAAAGGGGAACAAAAACAGTTCGAGGAGGCGATCTAGAGAGGCAGCCGCACCTGGACTGTGTGTGGAGAGGGCGGGGAGAACATCGCCGTCGTTCCTGAGACTTCTCTGCTTTGTTTGGTGTGAGGCCTGGAATCTCACCTCACTCCGGAGAACTAAGATCCTAGGAAAAAACTCCCCTTTATCTGCCTAAAGACAGATGCTCCAAAAGGAGCTCAATGGTCATAAATTATCAGCCAGGGAAGACTGTCTCTTGTCACAGGATCACAGGAGAGGGGACTAGAAATCGACACCATTCCCCAGACAAACTCTGTCACCGTCTATCATACCTCCCATCTATTCTAAGGGCCCGTTCATCCTTCCTAAAAGTCATTTGCTCCCCCCGTAGGAGGCCTACACGCCCCCTCCCCTTTCCCTATTAAGATGGTATTTAAGTCTGAATTCTAAGCCACATAACTCATTTTCCCCTGGGTATCTCCCATGCATACACAAAGTGTACACATTAATCAACCTCTGGTTTTCTCTTGTTAATCTGTCTTTTATGACACGGGTCTTAGCTTAAGAACTCAGAAGGATACAGGGAAATTTTACTTTTCCTCCCCTACAGTGTCTTCCTCTCTCCCTGGCACTTCAGGGCAGACATAAACAGATGCTCTTTTTGACCCCTTAGCAACTCTTGCAGAACCTATAACATTATTTTACATCTCTTTCGCATCTTACATATCCCTCCCCCACCCCCACCCCCCACCCCACCCCCACCACCACCTTGCCTGTCTGGCAGTGATTTTTGCTTATTTTTCCTTGTTAACTGACATGTAGTTCAATGTCAAACATAAACTCAGGGATTGTTACAGACGAACAGTTCCTGCCTTTGACTACTTTTAAACACTAAGGGAAAAGAAAGACACACCCAAACTGCAACATTATAAAACAACCACAAGCCAAGGCTGACAGAAGTGATGGCTTCTGGTGTCAGAGGGTCCCCAGGCAGAATCAGAAGAGAGTCTAAAAGCTTCCCTTTCAATACTCTTTGTCCTCCTCTGAGGGGCCTAGTCACCCATTACCTAAACACAATTGTCTCCAAAGTAAACTCTCCCTTCCCCTGTTGCAAGTAAATTCAGACTGAGAAAGAAATTCACATGCAGGTGTAAATTACTATCTGAGGTATTTATAACAAGATCTGACTCTAATGGGGGAGTGGTGGTTGGGATATTGAATCTAATTGGTGGGATTAATAGTATTAGTAGTATTTCTGAGTGGGAACGGGTTCTCCTATAGCCTCTAAAAAACATTTTTTCCTAAAAGGACAAGGAGTGGCAGTGTGGGGAAGTTGGGGTTCCTATGGCCAGGATCCTCACTGAACTTAAACCACCTCATGATGTAACTGGCCTGTTGCTAGGCTACCGCGTCCACACCTTTTCTTCAGGCAATACGCTATTTATTGCGCTCTATAGAGAGCTCGGCCCAGTGCTCTGGGCGGAGGCAGAGACGCTAGTGCTCCACCCACCGCCGGGAGAACAAGCCGGGTAATAAACCCTTTCACCCCAAAGAACGTTTTCCGGTCAATTTCTTTGGTCACATTGACTCCATAGCGAACTTGCCCGGGGCTGAAACCCATTGGCAAGACAGTAACCCTATGAGATAGCTGATGTTTGACTTTCACTGTGCCAATAAGAAAACCATTGGTTTATGGATTCCCCAGGGAAAGGAATCTGAGAGACGTGGGTTGGAATATTTCTCCACCACTCTCCTCATCTGTAAAATGGGGTTTTTAATACTTTTCTCTAGAGGCTGTGCATATTAAATAATATACGTATACTGTTGATTACAGAAATTAAATGAAAGGAATGTAGAGGAAGAAGTTACATTTTTAAAACAGCCTCTCTCTTTTTTTTTTATATGTCAGTTGAGTTGTGAGCATTCTGTTCTAATTTTCCTTGTAAACCAGAGGTATAAGTGTCATGCTAACCTCTGTGGCTTGAACATAAAGAAAAAAAATGTCTAAATCATCTCTATTAAAAGTAAATAAACAAATTAAATATATAACCCTTAAAATTCTTGCAATATGTAGCTTAAATCTCAGGAGGATGATTTGTGGAATAAAGATGCTTCTCAACTTGAATAGCTTTAAAATACTGTGTGTAACATGTTACTTGAGCCAACTATATTCTCCCAGAATATGTTGCATTGGAAAGTCAGGAATCACATAACCTTGCAGCGGAGGAAAACTTCCTTCCACCTCTTGGATTCTGTGGCTGGTACTAAGAATTAAACTAATGTAAAACTGACCAAAAGGAAACAACCATAAAAATTTTAATGTTTTTGTGTGTGCAGAGGAGTCTTCAGAAGGAGAGTGAAGACTTGAAGTGGCTGTTAGGCCCCAGAACTTATACATACCTTTGAAAACAAAGAACAGTAAGTTCCAGGGATGTGACAACACAGAAGGGGTTAGGCTGGAGACAACAAATTGTGGGACAATGACTAGGCATTACATGCTGGAAACAACAGAAGATACGGGTTATTTTAATAGGTTTGTTTGTATAGATCCCCCGGTCTCTGGTGATAAGAAAGTGCTTCTCTTTCTTGCTGGTACTGGGAGGGCACCTTTCTCAGGGGAACTTCTATGAGCTGCTTTAGGTAGAAGAGTCGAGGGTCAGAGAGCCCCTCCCACATCTGCTGTTTCTCAAGTGCTTCAGCTCAAAATAATGTGCCAAAGTAGCATATTTTGGGTTGGCATGTTCTGAACCCCTTCAGACTCTAAGCTGCTGAAGTGGAGGCAAAATTTTACCTCTACCCTCTTGTGGGTTTTGGCTGAGCCTGATAATTAAATTGGCATAGGGCAGATCTACGGGGAAAAGTATGCAAATTTATGTACTGTAAGTTTTACTTGACATGGGAGCCCTCTTAAGGAAATGCTTCTGTAGCAGTTAGAGTTGAACACTTATGTCCTGAACTGAGCAAAGAGTAGTAAATCATGAAAATGTAACAAGACAAAAGGACTTGGGCTGGGGCAGTTAATGATGGAGAAGTAACAAGGAAGATAAGATTTAGATTAACAAGGAGTGTTTGTACAAATTTCTCTCAGCTTTGACTCTCCATCCTTGGTGATAAGAATGTTATTTTACTCCTGGTATATGGAAGACATCGTCCATATGGGGTTTTATCTCCTGTTTTAAGGATCAAAAGGGAGTCAGAATGCCTTTCTTGCACTGGTTTTTCAAGTACTTTAGCTCAAAATAGTCGTTATGGGTGGTATTTCTGCCACTAATAGGGTTCAAGACATGCTATCCCAAAGTATGGGATATCATATTATATTAACTATTTTTAGCTGAAGAATTTTTAGAGAATGACAGCAGGTGTTCCTTTCCATGCTTCTTCCATGAAACAGTTCATAAAACACTTGTGGAGGTGCCCTTCTTATACCTTTAGGAAAGGAGCATCCTTATCTCTAAAGACAAATGAATGCACATAAGTATCCTAACAAAGAGGCTTTGCTATTCCCCCCCACCCTAGCCCCGTTTACTACTCTTACCTCATACTCCTTAACCTATCATATTTGTATACAAGTGTCCACTCTTCAGCAAACCTAGCATAAAAATACTCAGGTCTAACCATTTCCTTGGCTCTTCACTTCCTATCAAGTTCCCTAAGTCATGTAAAAGTTATATTAGATAAATTTGTGTGCTTTTCTTATTAATCTTTGTCAGTTTAATTTTCAGACCCACCAGAGACCCTAAAAACTTTCTTCCCCTGCACCACCCTTCTCTGTATAGTATAGAGAGTAGTGTTTAGGTCAAGTAGAAACGGAAAAGTTTATATCTAATGAGCAGGATGTGGGAGAACAAGTTTATGTTAGAACGGGATAATGTAAGAAGCCCCAAATCCTCTGGTTTCTCAGTATATTCCAGGACTGCAGGCCACTCAAGAAGAAAGGGAATCAGGCCCATGGCCTGACCAACCCACAAACCAAAGATTCAGTCTCATCTTGGATATATTTGAAGGCATGGGAGTTCTTGAAGTCAAAGACTAAACACAAGCTGTCTTTCTGGAACATATATTTTAATTTAGTCCATTACTTTTGTATTAAAAACAAACACATGCATATATAAATATTATGTGTAGTAATTCACTTATTAACACTTTCTTATTTCCTATGGTAACATTCAAGCTTCTCAGGACTGTTCTCCCTCCCTGCCCAGTACTAAATAATGAAGTTGCAGTACTTAGTATTGAAACTGGAGATTCATATTATTTCTGGTGAAAGAACTTTAGAAATATTAGGAGAAACATTCCCTCTTCCCCACAACTGCAGCAAAATAGAAGCCTTCTGTATTATGAATTTGCTTCTGATAAAGTGGTGTATTATGAACTTTCACAGGAATATCTCTGTTGTCCAGTGTGGAGACTAGGTGAAATTGGGCTAACATGGATGTGAATTTAGTCATTAAAGGTGACTTCTAAGGCAACCGAACATCACAGATTGTTATATTCTGAGAAATGTTAAAAGTTACTTAAAAGTTTACTATTCTGATTGACTAACTTATTTGACTTGTCCTGGAATATTTTATTTGGCATCTCTGTTTACTGAGAAGTAGAAATCCTTATACGATTGATTAAATCAGAGGAAGACTTGGAATTTTCCTGTTCTCTGTATTATAAAGGTAAAATAAATCCCATGACTATTTGGATATTATATGAATAAGCAGCTCAAGAATCTTTTTCTTATTTACATTAACACATCCAAACATGTGCTGAGAGAGCACATGTTTAAAAAAAAAGATCATTGCAAAGAAATTGATTTTGGACAGGTTACTTTGGGTTGTCATCAAGACCCTGTAGGGTAGTTTCCTCTTTTGATGGGAATTGTTCAGTGAAGTTTAAGAAACAATGAGTGATTTGACTGCATGATAGGAAAATTCTACAGTTCTTTAAAATGTAACTGATAAAACGGGAAATCCATTATAATTTCATTCTTTTGCTTTAGAATATTATCTAGGACAGGCCATAATTTCTCTGAGACTCAGTTTCTTTATCTGTTAAATGTAAAAATAACATGTATTTCGCAGAGTTAGGATTGAGATCATGTATGCAAAATAATTTTTAAATAGTACTGAGTGGTGCTCTGTATATGTAAGGCAATGTTACTATTAAAAAACCACCAAAGGAAGGGGTAACAGTTGCACAACATTTTTTATCTTCTCCCTAAAGCAGGGGATTGCCTATGTCCAAGGGGAATCTAACTCCGGGGAGAAGAAATACCAGGGCAAAATATCTCTGAAACCGAAATCAGTCAAAGGGATAAAGTTTAAAACCCATTTATTGCTTACCAACTGCCATCCGGAGCGTCCCTTTCCTGCTCTGCGAGAAGCAAGCGAGACTCTACCCTTAACCTCTCAGGTTCAAAGAATCCCACAGTTGCCCAGGTAGTTTACCCATTGATATGGAGATGAACTACTGCTCTCCAGCCCTTAGGAACACCTGTTCATACGGAGATGCTCTAAAGCCAGACGAGAGGTTCTGGAATATTAGTTTTACCCACAGGGAAAACAAATTTTTACATTGTGTTTAGTGTTCAGGAAATCCCCTCAAAATCATTTTTATTTTATTTTGACTTCAGCAGGCACATTCATATTGACACCTTCAAGGTAAGTTTTAAGCTTGAGCCTGCTTTTGTTCTTAGGTTTGAGATTTTATAAGGATTGAATGCAATGCTTTTTCGATAAAAGTCATACAATTAAAAGTTTTATGTTAACTATTACAATTTTAAACATTGGTAACCTTACATAACTGTTTTATGATATGCAGTTTCCTGATCAATACTTAAAAGCATATGAAATAACTAAAAGGCAAAGGATCTATTTCCTTACAGAGAATAAAGATATGAAACTTCTAAGTATTAGAAAGCACTTTACAGAAGAAAACATGCTAGCAACTCAGTAATCAACAAATAATCTATTTACTTTGAAAATTTACCTTTTAATCTGACTGATAAGCAAACTGACTATTTTGAAACTATTCACCACTGTAAAGGAGAAACTAATTTTCAGGTCTTATCTTTCTTGGTTTAGGAACGTTTCATCTATAGGACCTAATTGGCCAGTGATGGACTGAGGAGGAGGGAACTGCATTCCAGGGGCAAAAGGCTAAAGAAGGGCGGCAGGCTCTATCTACTCTGCAAGTTGGTACCGGTTAGCACAAGGCTTTGGTGGAATTCAGGTAAACCTAAATTCAATTTTTGGTTCCTTAAACTATGTATTGTTTTGTTGAACCTAAATCATAATGTAATGCATCTAATGCCCTTAGCACAACACATTGTTAGCTATGGAGAGGAATTACAGTAACTCGTAACTGGAAATACATACTGAAACCTAGTTGATTGGAGGGCATGCTTGTATTTCGAAAGAACCTGTTAAAATACAAATCCCAAGCGTGCAAAATGCTCTATAAATTTGCTCTTACAAAAGTTACATTAATTTAAACGAAAAGTTTAAAACAAGAACACCTGTGATCCTTAAAGTTATAGATATGTACAGGAAAAGGGAAGTAACGGGAACAAAAGATTAGCATAACTCTTTGCTAAGTAGGATTGAATTCTAGCCAATGAAATCACAACTCCGGAAATTCCTATTTTTTTTCTGACCCAATCAAGATGAAGCTGTGTCTATAAATATGACTGCCTACTGTTTTCTGAACCTTCGCAAGGGTTTGTTTTATGACTCGGACAAAGCTTATTGCCCGTAAGTCGACCGGCCACAAGTCTCCGCGATAGCAGCTGGCCACGGGCGGCGTGAAGAAGCCGCACCGCTACCGGCCGGGGCACCGTGGCCCTGCGGGAGATTCGGCGCTACCAGAAGCCCACCGAGCTGCTGATCCGCAAGCTTCCTTTCCAGAGGCTGGTGCGCGAGACCGCGCAGCATTTCACGACGGACCTACCTGCGCTTCCAGAGTTCTGCCATGATGGCGCTGCATGAGGCGAGCGAGGCCTAATTTGGGGCTGTCCGAAGACACGAATTTGCGTCATCTACGTCAAGCGCGTGACCATTATGCCCAAGGACATCCAGCTGGCCCACCGCATCCGCGGGGAGCGGGCTTAAGGCATACGTTTCTAAATAGGTTTAAAGGCTCTTTTCAGAGCCACCCAAGTGTTCGTGAAGAGCAGCTATATACTAAGTTCACCTGGCGTTGGTCTATCGTCCCGTTTTAGATAGGGTAGGGAAACTAGCACATGGCGATGAAGTTATGGAGTCAGGCTTGATCGTCTTCGGCCCATCCTGCTTAACGACTTACAAGCTGCTAGCACAAATCTGAATTCACAAACTGACATTCTTAAGTCTGTGTAATTGATGGGATGGGAATCTAGGTTTTAGAGTCGATTTTAGTTACTAGATGAACGCCAGGTAAAATTATATCCCCAAGTAGCTATAGCAAGGTTTTGTTTTAACTTTAAAAAAGGCCAGAGGCAAGAGACCTCGTGCTGAATCTCGAGATGTGTTAAGATCCCAAGGATGGGGTGAAGTGGAAGCAAGTTATTTTTTTTAAATGAAGTCTTTTCCTCTAAGAATTGGATAAATTAATTTATAACTTACATATTGTATAACACAGCACAGCCCAGAATTGGAGTTCGAAGGAAATAACGAGCTACTTTAAAAAACGTGGGCTGAGGTACTGTTGCAGAAACCAAATCCAAATGAAACATTTCTACAAACAAAAATATGAGATGAGAAAATGAAAAAGGAAGCTCGTCTTTAGCCGGCCCTTCAGCTCTCTTCCGTATACAAGTCTGCACTTCAAAGGGAAACCCAAATAAAAAAGACTTCAAACAGTTGAAACTTGTCACTTCACATAATTTTCTGGTTAAAATAAAATGGGACACTTTGATTGGCTAACAAGACTTGTTCTGATCACCACTAAAAGAAGCGAGAGCAGAAGTCATTTGCACAGACTCCACCCCTATATGGCGAGACTGTTGGAAATTAACCAATAAACTCTCAGTCCCGTGCAAGTCTTCATTTCCATACCGGTTCTATAAGTAGCGCATAACCAACCAGTTTTGATGTAGCTGGAATCACTTATTTTATCTTGTAGTGTGTGTTTCTGCAAGAATGCCGGATCCAGCAAAATCTGCTCCGGCTCCCAAGAAGGGCACTAAAAAAGCTGTTACAAAAGTGCAGAAGAAGGACGGCAAGAAGCGCAAGCGCAGCCGCAAGGAGAGCTACTCCGTCTACGTGTACAAGGTGCTGAAGCAGGTGCACCCCGACACCGGCATCTCGTCTAAAGCCATGGGCATTATGAACTCGTTCGTCAACGACATCTTCGAGCGTATCGCGGGCGAGGCGTCCCGCCTGGCGCATTACAACAAGCGCTCCACCATCACGTCCCGGGAGATCCAGACGGCCGTGCGCCTGCTGTTGCCTGGCGAGCTGGCCAAGCATGCTGTGTCCGAGGGCACCAAGGCGGTCACCAAGTACACCAGTTCAAAGTAAGGATGAGCAAGGGAGTGGAGCGGATAACCAGCTATTTTACCTCAAAGGCTCTTTTCAGAGCCACTTAAGCTACCGGAGAAAAGGGCTGTAAACACTTGTTGGTTACGTTGGGTGGGCTTGTGATCACGAACACCTGTGGGCTTAAGACTAGGCTACGTCCGACCAGGGTTAAAATTTTTAACTTTGGCTGTTAAAACCTGGAACCTTCGATGGTCCAGTAGTGTCACCAAGTGGTACTATTGCTGGTAGTAAGTTAGCCCTCAAAATGGGTTCTGTTAAGTCTTAGAAGAGTCTTAAGTTGAAAGCTTAGATATAAGAAGCTAGGTTTGACACCTTTTCCGACTTTTGTTCTGTGGTTTTTTTTCTTTAGGTCGGGGAGGATGGGTATGTGTGCTAAAATTATCCTACTGAATTGTTTTCCTCTGCCTTTAAATGTCTTCCAGGTTATTTTTCTTTTACATAGTGGAGGAGCTGGGGTTTATCTTCCCTAGCACACAGATGGAAAGCTCATTTCTCCACTACTCACCGTTTTTAACATTTTAACCTATTTTAAACACTAAGGCATCTGTCCCAAGCTTTCGCCTTAGGCTTAATAGTCTGTTATGAATCCTGACCGAGCTATCCTCCCCTAACTTCTGTCTAGCCTGCTGACTCACAACTAGAGATTTTGCCCTTCACTCTGGGACATTGGGTGGTACCTAAAGATACTTTGGATGTTACTTGGGAAGAGGAGTGCTACTGGCACCTAGGGAGTTAGTTGCTTTACCAACGGGTTTCAGCCCTGGGGAAGTTCGCTTCCACTCAGAGTGAGTCTGCATGCAGCAAGCCGGCCTCTGCCTCTGGGTGTCTCTACCTGCACAGCTGTCCTCTGGGCCTCTGTTCTTGGCGCTGCCACCACTCCTGTAGCCATGTCACTGTGTTGTCCAGAGCACTGGGCAGGGCTCTTTATATATAGAGTCAATAACGACATACTGCCCACATGTGTGTAGTGAGCTAGCCAACCAGGGCCAGGTGAGAATCCTGGCCACAGGAACCTTCACTTTATCCACAGTAGGAGACCTGGGCTGCTGCTAAACACCCCATAGTGCATGACAGTCCCCACAACCAAGCATTACCTGGTCCATGTCCATCCTTGGGCTAAGGTTCAGAAACCCAGCATCCAAGGACTTAACCTTCTTTCAGGATCCTCATTTTGGTCAAACCTTCTCTCAGTTCTACCCAGCCAGTGTTACTGCTTTTGGTGAAAGCTGAGCAGTACACAAATTGATTGTTAATATTCCTTCACAGGAAAAATCTCTCTTGCAGGACAAGGACATGGGTTCTGTAACAAAATTTCCTGGTTATCAGAACTACCTCTGCTTGCCAAACACATTTCCAGGTGCCTCTCCTAATAAGTAAGGTCAGGTTGGAGGTGGGGACTGGAGGTGGTTTTTAGTGTTCTGAGGTTTTTGTTTTGTTTTGTTTTAAATAGGTTTTGTGGATATGATGTACAACAGGCCACAGTTAACACATGAGGTGAACTTCTAAGGACCTCTTAGTTCAAAACTTGCATAACTTAAGACTAAACCTGACAAAGGCTGGTGGATGTTTTACCAAATAAAATATAGTCTTGAGGCAAAAGGAAAATCTTAATTTCCAGTTCATCCGACAGTCAAGCTTTGGAATTGAGCCATTCTTGATAAATTTTGGAGAATTTACATAACAACTTTATGTTTAAAATTAATTTTATTATAGGAGTTCCCATTTAATCCAATTCAAAGCTGCATAAAACAGGCTGTATATGATTTCTCACTTTCACCGGGAAGTAAGATTCTCAGTGAGTCATCTTCTCCTGCAGACTATCAGACATGAGGCCAGGAAAATATGACTCGACTGAGAGTCTAAAATTACAAATGAAAGAAAAATCATTACAAAGCACATTATAGGAAAAGTTATCAAATAAATGAGAAGGCCAGGGTGGTCTGTCTTCTACCCAGTCAAGCCATCAGAATCTATCTGGTCTCTTCACCTTGATCCTGAAGTCCAGGGGTGTTCATCCTGACAATGAGGCACCATGTTTCTTAAGGTCTTTTGAAGTCGTTAAAACTGTCAGTTGGCTCACTTAATCAAAAGCTATTTTTAATAACCCTCTGACTAAAGGATTAAACTCCAACTCTATCCTGAAACTAAAGGCCTTCTGCATCTGACCAAAACTTACCTTCTTTAATTACTCCTTTCCCCAAGTCCAACAATTTAGCTAAATGTTCTACTTATTGTTCTTAATTTCTCATTGTTTTTACATTTTCTTATATTGTTTTATATTTGTCTTTTACTAGCGGGCAGGGTCCTTTTTTTTTTTTAATACTTCTAGGGATCTTCCACAAAGTCTATCCCAGTGCCTATTATAAGACAGCTTCTCAGTGAAAGTTTGTTGACTGATTGCCCAGTCCGTAGAACACTAGAAAATTAATCTGAGGGTGGTAGGTTCGTCTTCCAATAAAACGTGTTTCTCTACTTTTCCCTAACTTTTTCTTCTTTAACTGGAAAACTTTTTAAATGGCTCTTAATTTTTGACCCACTTAAAACAACTGTTAGAGATGCAAAATATCTTCAGAGGGGGCAGATAAAGTACTGGACTTGACGGCTTCCCTTCAGACAATGTATCTTAGTGGCCCAAAGGATGTGATTACAGTAGAGCGTTTTCAGCCTAGTTGAGATGCTGTTTCTCCAGTGTTACAAACAAGGAGGAGGCGAGAGATGGATTCCATATGAAAAGAATTGTATTAAGATTTAAAGATAAGATCCAGAGAGCATTGCAAATGTAGAAATGGACTTGGCCTGTGTCAGGTAAAATGTCATTGAGAATGGTTGTCATCTTTTCAAAGATTGTTGAATGGATCATGATATGTATAGAAACCTATGAAGATGACAGTTAAATCTTCTGTCATGATTTTTAAACAAGTCTCTCATTTTTAAATGGTACATTTCCTAAAAGTGATCTAAAATCCAAACTTGAAAAAAATTGACTTTGGACACCTATAATTAAAGTACAGGACAACAGATGGGAAATAAGGTATGTGATTTCTTTGTAGGATAAAGTAGGAGTCATCCAAGAATGTCAGTCTTTAACAAGGAAAGAACAAGATTGTTTTGGAGAATTACTAGGTATTGAATATTCTAAATTTTGTAACTATTGTTGAACCATCATATGGTTTGACAAAAATAGAAAACTTATCGAGCGTATCGCGGGCGAGGCGTCCCGCCTGGCGCATTACAACAAGCGCTCCACCATCACGTCCCGGGAGATCCAGACGGCCGTGCGCCTGCTGTTGCCTGGCGAGCTGGCCAAGCATGCTGTGTCCGAGGGCACCAAGGCGGTCACCAAGTACACCAGTTCAAAGTAAGGATGAGCAAGGGAGTGGAGCGGATAACCAGCTATTTTACCTCAAAGGCTCTTTTCAGAGCCACTTAAGCTACCGGAGAAAAGGGCTGTAAACACTTGTTGGTTACGTTGGGTGGGCTTGTGATCACGAACACCTGTGGGCTTAAGACTAGGCTACGTCCGACCAGGGTTAAAATTTTTAACTTTGGCTGTTAAAACCTGGAACCTTCGATGGTCCAGTAGTGTCACCAAGTGGTACTATTGCTGGTAGTAAGTTAGCCCTCAAAATGGGTTCTGTTAAGTCTTAGAAGAGTCTTAAGTTGAAAGCTTAGATATAAGAAGCTAGGTTTGACACCTTTTCCGACTTTTGTTCTGTGGTTTTTTTTCTTTAGGTCGGGGAGGATGGGTATGTGTGCTAAAATTATCCTACTGAATTGTTTTCCTCTGCCTTTAAATGTCTTCCAGGTTATTTTTCTTTTACATAGTGGAGGAGCTGGGGTTTATCTTCCCTAGCACACAGATGGAAAGCTCATTTCTCCACTACTCACCGTTTTTAACATTTTAACCTATTTTAAACACTAAGGCATCTGTCCCAAGCTTTCGCCTTAGGCTTAATAGTCTGTTATGAATCCTGACCGAGCTATCCTCCCCTAACTTCTGTCTAGCCTGCTGACTCACAACTAGAGATTTTGCCCTTCACTCTGGGACATTGGGTGGTACCTAAAGATACTTTGGATGTTACTTGGGAAGAGGAGTGCTACTGGCACCTAGGGAGTTAGTTGCTTTACCAACGGGTTTCAGCCCTGGGGAAGTTCGCTTCCACTCAGAGTGAGTCTGCATGCAGCAAGCCGGCCTCTGCCTCTGGGTGTCTCTACCTGCACAGCTGTCCTCTGGGCCTCTGTTCTTGGCGCTGCCACCACTCCTGTAGCCATGTCACTGTGTTGTCCAGAGCACTGGGCAGGGCTCTTTATATATAGAGTCAATAACGACATACTGCCCACATGTGTGTAGTGAGCTAGCCAACCAGGGCCAGGTGAGAATCCTGGCCACAGGAACCTTCACTTTATCCACAGTAGGAGACCTGGGCTGCTGCTAAACACCCCATAGTGCATGACAGTCCCCACAACCAAGCATTACCTGGTCCATGTCCATCCTTGGGCTAAGGTTCAGAAACCCAGCATCCAAGGACTTAACCTTCTTTCAGGATCCTCATTTTGGTCAAACCTTCTCTCAGTTCTACCCAGCCAGTGTTACTGCTTTTGGTGAAAGCTGAGCAGTACACAAATTGATTGTTAATATTCCTTCACAGGAAAAATCTCTCTTGCAGGACAAGGACATGGGTTCTGTAACAAAATTTCCTGGTTATCAGAACTACCTCTGCTTGCCAAACACATTTCCAGGTGCCTCTCCTAATAAGTAAGGTCAGGTTGGAGGTGGGGACTGGAGGTGGTTTTTAGTGTTCTGAGGTTTTTGTTTTGTTTTGTTTTAAATAGGTTTTGTGGATATGATGTACAACAGGCCACAGTTAACACATGAGGTGAACTTCTAAGGACCTCTTAGTTCAAAACTTGCATAACTTAAGACTAAACCTGACAAAGGCTGGTGGATGTTTTACCAAATAAAATATAGTCTTGAGGCAAAAGGAAAATCTTAATTTCCAGTTCATCCGACAGTCAAGCTTTGGAATTGAGCCATTC